AGTTTCCAAAACAAATCTGGAACGTATTATTCAGAGTGATCCATGCATCTGTGCGGATGTCAGATGTGGTTAGTGAGACCCTCGAGACACTTTTTTTGCCTTTATTATTTAAATAGGAAATTATAAAATGATGTGTTCTAATCTTACAAAAAAAAAACAACTAACACACACATCTGTCATCTGTCTTCTCAGCCTGCTGTTTGCAGTAAGCGGGACGGCCACCGTGAGACGAGTGGAACGTCCCACAGACTGTCTGTCAGTGTTCAGGTTGGACACAGAGCCTTCACCTGACCAGGTTTCTGCTGCAGCCAAAACACACCACATCCTAACCGACCGAGCACGCTGTCTGGGTGGGATATTATGGTTGCCTGCCAAATGTGCCCGATGTTTTGGCTCTTGTTGGAAAGTTTTTTTTCCCCCCCTTCCAGATGATTTGACAGGTAGAGAACTCCTGTTTGTTTTTTTTGTTTTTTTCAGGAAAACAAGTTTGGTTGGTAAAAATCCTGAAAGCAGCTCTTGAATTTTGGATTTGCACACTGGTGAATGTGAAAGTTCCCTGCTCTTTACACCGTGTTGTTGCTCTGCTTTAGCCTCAATCCCCTCCTCCCGACACACCATTGATATGTAAATGCTGGACAGCTTGTATGACAATACCACACTGTCATGGTAAATGAGTTAAACTGAGACTGTTGCATTTAGTTCAGTGCGGGACATTCGACAGTATTTCCAGCACGCTAAAAGCTGTGAAAAAAACGAACACACAATCAAATGGGAGCTATGACGTATCACGGACGTTTTAAAACTGTAATGCTAAGTATATTATATAGAGGCCTCTGCAAACATGTACGTACTCCTTCACCCCCCCTCTCTCCACTGCCTTTACTGTGGGTCAACCACAGGCTCACCATGCTCTCTCCGCTGATGGAGCCCTCTCCACCACTATGAGGGGAAAACTGGAGAGGTGCGGCCTCTGCCTTATTTACACTAGACTTGCATTTTCTTAGGTTTGGCACTGGCCGGGTATTTGAGGGATACAGTGAGTTGTGGTGCTCGAGCAAAGCCTTCATAACTAGGCCTCTGTGAAAAGGTAAAAAGCTGAACAGTTGGTGGCAGGCCGATAATCCTCACTGTTGTAGGTCTACATGGACTGTTTTCATTTCAGACAGGTAAAGTGTTTGAATACCCCAAAAGGGAGCTTTACTTTGTGGATATAACTTTAAGGCAACTGCAGAAAATGCCTGAAACAGAAGAAAAGTAATATTATTGTCTGCTGGCAAGATTTCCACACTGCTGTGTTGTTATTTTTTTTTTTTATTATTTGACTGTCTGTACAGCTGTGATTTTATATGGTATTTATTAAAGAACAGATATGGAAAAATTAACTGAAAATAAAATTCTCGAAAATTGTGCAGTCTGTCTCCAGAGATTTTGTCAACAGCACAAGGTGAACGCTCATTAAAAAAAATAAAAAAATTTGAATCAGTGGAAAGATTTATTTGCCTTCGTGGGAGCAACGCTGCTGGTCTCTGGCCACCGTCATCATCTGGAAGGGAGCTCTGAAGAAACAGCTGGCTCATGTCCACGAGGGGAGGAGAGAGGAAGGCAGGCAGGGGAAAGTAAGGACATTTTATAATTATATAATTCCTATGGAAGTCTGGAATCTAGTGAAAATGTCCAGATCTGAAACACAGGGAAATACACAAGGAGCCAGCTACGTTTATGTTATCTGTTTTTCTTTTACTGTCTCTAGTTCTTTTGCCAGACATCATGCATCCAGCTCTTCGCACGGAATTACGGCAGTCAAACTTTCTACTTTCTCGTAACTCATTCATACTGCGTCGTAGGAGAGGAACATGGTCTGAAGTTGTAATTAAGCATCTGAATAACTTATCCAAAACTACAAAGATGAATGAACGCTGGATTAGCAAAACAAAAACAAAGAATCTGATCAACATCATTTGATATATTTTTACACCCAAAGATCACTTCATGAGTCATAGTCCAAATGAACCCACAAGAACAGTTTGAAGGCTTTTTCTGGCTAATGAAACCCTGTCAGGGAAATGTATGATTCTAATTTTCTGGATATTTTAGCCTCTGCTGTTTTGACTTTGATCATTCTTTTTTTTAATCGGCCTCGTGCAAATCCTCTAAGTTAAAGGCCTCCTTTGGTGAAAATCAGGTTTTGTTTTCCTTTTTGCTTTGTTAACACAGCCATATGGAGTGTTTCATATGCTATCACGAGGGAAAGAAGCAGTCGACATCATCATGGCTGAGCTTTTTCACCTTGAAACTGGAACCGGTGACAATGTCAAAAACACAGATTCAGACTTTGAGGATGTAACAAGCCTAAAAATAAAGAAATCCTGTCAACTTGCAAGGTGGAACTTCCCGTATCATTCTTCTTCTTCAGAACTGGTTCAACATACATGACCTACTCATATATGTTTACTCTAGTATTATGACTTGCCATTGTAAAGCAGTTTTACAGTGTTTGAGCAGAGTTGTAGGTGAGCTGGTGTGCTTGAGCTGCAGTGAGTGGAGGTGCAGATTAACTTCATAGATGCACACAATCTAAAGAACGTAACAGTGTAGAGGTACATCTGAGCCATGTTGAGGCAGGAAGAGATTATTTTTACAAAAAAACAAAGTATTGTAGATGTTTATCTTTGATATACAGAGATGAGTTTTTAGGGTTTAATCAATGACCGGAGAGGGACTTTAAAGGAAGTACTATGTTAGGCAGAGTACTTTAAAATACTGGCTCTTAAGTTAATAAAGTCTTTGTAAAGTCAGAACTTGATGTCTTTTGGGATTTCCTAAAAGCAATGAAATACAAAGTGCAGCTGTACTTGCCATATAGGTTTAACAAGTGGTTTTTAAAATCAGGACTTGAAGTAATGTTTGTTTTCTGCCCCACCATCTGGCTAATGACATTCACCTGGCATGCCAGGTGTAAATCACTCCCAGACTGTGTAGTTAGAACAGAGAACAGCACGGCTCTGGGTCCTGAAGCAACCGCGTGGAGAACCATTGAGTGATGCGTTTGTGGCTGTGCTGTGGAGGGGGCTCTAATTGGCTGTCGGTGCCCGTGGTGTTGGCTCTGCTTCTTTGCTTTAATCATGAGCATGAGCATCTTGCTGCCAGGAAAACTTTGGATGCAATTTTGACCCTTGTGCTTTCTTTGTTGCTTGTTTCTGGGAGTACTGCCAATTTATTTTGCCCCCAAAAAGTGCATTGAATATCCGTACAGTAATGCAGCCCAGAAACTGAGATTCTGAGATGGAAAACTTAGCCCACCATCCAGTCTCTTCTCTAATACCACAACCTACGGCATTGTGGCTTTGATCGGCCTCCATTTTCCGGCAGCTCCAATAAGTGCAGACTCCCTCTGTCTCTTGTCTGTTGATACTGTTAATGGGACAGCAGGCATCACCCGTAAAGAGGGGTCTCTCAACGTTCTGAACCCAAAGGAGCTGGGTCCCCTTGACTCCAGCGTGCCCCTGCACGGAGAGCAGGTCAGTCATTCACCGCCGCTCGATGGCTATCATGAATGGAACATTGTACCTACGTGAGACAAGAGCCTCCTAAATCCTGGGGTCACTCCCACTTTGGAGCCGTGAGGAGCAGAGTGTGGGTCCGGGGGGGGCAGGGGGGGTTTGTTTCAAAGAAATGTTGAATAAAGATAATTTAGAAAATGGGCTCCAGCACAGTGCTGCCTCTGTAACTACACCGCTCCGCCCCCTCTGCACACTCAACTCCCCAAGGCTACTCTGCTCATGTTTGTTTTGATTTTGCTCCCAGAATTGAGGCGGTTGTGGGGGGGTGGTGGCAATGGTTAACACAGACTGGACCATGAGCAGACTAACTAAACTAGAGCGAGTCGTGCTATATCGTAGCTGTAAGCTGCTTTGTTTCTCCATCTCCCTGTTTTTTATGACACAGACAGTTGGAAGTGCTCGAGGATTCTTGTGGTTAATGAAGAATCAGGAGAAGCTGTGCAGAAGTTCTCTCCAGACTTGGAGATGTTGAAATCTACCACCTGTTAACTCAAGTAACAAACTTCTAATTACTCATCACATGTACTTTCTCACGCAAGTATCGTGGCAACATTGTTCTCCCCGGTTTTGTTCGTTTCCTGCTCTCGCCACTGCAGATTTGCACCATTTGGACACGAGCGGATTGACATTTACAGAACAGGTGGGCTGCTCACACCTTGCAGCAACGCTAAATGACTCTTTTACAGTTTGTTAATGACTTGTAAATACCTTAGTAAGTGTGGAACAAGCCCCAAATGGTTGCTTGCGCTGACGCTGGTCATTTTATTTTTGATCATGAGCAAAGTCCGTGAGCAAAAACCTTCAATCGACTGCTGCTCTGCTGACTTACTTCTAACATCTTGATGGTTTAGTTTCAGTTTGATTGTGCAGTGACTAGACACTCAAAATTCCTCACCAGGTTTCAATTACACTGACCTAATCCCTTAAATATACAGTGAAAATAGCCACATGCGGTGCTGTATGTGGAGTCACTTGGCTGGCTTGACTGTCAAACAATATTCTCCTCTATTTCGCAGTCAGTTGCTGTTTGTAGGAGCCTAAAACATCACGCCATGCAAGTGTTTTATGGTGTAAATCAAATATCAAGAAATATCACTGCACAAAAAGATTAAATAAAAACCTAACTCTCTTTCTAGAAAGCTAATATTGTTGGAAATGAATATGTGTAGATTTACATATTATCACCGCTGTTCAGTGAGAATTTAGTGCGTCTGCTTCCTGAACCTCAGCTAAACATACACTATGCTCTTTTCAATATATCATTAAACATATTCACAGGGTCTTGAATGCTTCCTCACTCATGGTTCATAAATGTAAGTCAGAGACAATAATGTGCTTTAAGCTTGATTCGATCATAGAAACCAGACTCATTACATCACATTTCAACATTTTGATTCCTTTTCCTTCTTGAGCTGCGGATAAATCACATCATGACACTGCTTTAAGTCATAAACATTTTATTATAAAACTCACTCTTCCATATGGAAGATACTGCTCTGGAGTGTTTACTGCTATGTTCCCACAAGATGAGATGAAAAATTGAAAACTCTAAATCATGTCTGGCTTTGTGGACAAAATCTTGAGCTACGTTTGTGTGTTTATATTAAAGGCATTTAAGCGACACTTAATTTTTTACTGCATATGATTGTAAAATATATACACATTCTTCGTATTTCTAAGCTTCATAATTTAACATTTAACAACATTGTTCAAGAAATTCATTTCAAGTGGCAAAAGACACAAACTGGCAGCTTCAGTACAAGTGATCCAAACTAACAAATGTTTCCCTTTTTTTTTTTTGCTAAACAGCTTTAACACGGAAAGGCAGAAGAAAGAAGTGAGACTGAAAGGCGGCTGGTTTCAGTTCCTGGACTACTGATGTAGACCTGCAGACAGGTAACAGATCATCTACAAATATGGTTTGTTCTGATATACTCAGCCTCAAAACACACACAATAAAAGACTTCAAAGTACATTTTAAAGGAAGGGAACGTCACTATGAATTTGTGAAAGTGACTACATCTTTTATATCATTAGTTTGAGCTTTATCTGTATTTGTACATGTTATTTGTTGATAATCCTGTATGTTAAAGGTTTTCTAAAGTATCTGGAAGTTGTTAAGTTGGCAACACTGTCATGCTCCTGCACCCACAACACAAAATACAAAACATTCATTGAACCTGTGTTGGAGCACTCATACCACTCTATGGCTAATGAGCGATCACCTTGTTGCTGGCACACTGGTCTGACACTGCTTTGTCCACTGATTACTGCGTTGATGCTGCTGCAGTGTTGATTTAACTGGCATTTTGTTGTGTTAATATCCATAAAATGTACCGTTTTTGTTCAATGGGCTCATAAAAACTTTGTGCAACAACTCACCCTCAAATCACACAGTTTGTTTTGACACATATGCTTGTAAATCAGAAACTGCGTTCACACGTGTATAACAAAGCAAAGCAGTGTCAGGCCTCCCGACATGAGCAGTGTTGTGGACAAACTGCAGGTATGCTATGTTGACCCATTCACACCAGCAGCTGGCAGGTTTTCCTGGGGTGTTGCGGCAGTGTGAAAGCAGTAATAAAGACAGGGGTCTTTTAAAGGCATTAGAAGGGGGGCACGCATTAGACAGGAGGAAGAGAGGGGTGGGGGGTGGTTTCAGGAAAAGTTCAATAAAACAATCTCAAATGGGGGATGGGGAACAAGACAGAGTGCTGGAGAGGCGCTTCAGTTAATTTAAGTACTTGATCCCACACCCTCGCCTGTCCTCTGAAATTTCCCACAAATATTTGAAGTGTGGTTGCTGCAACAATGCAAAGGCCCCTGAAATGGAGAGCAGAGCAAACAGAGGCTGGATGGCTCCAATGTTTGTCTAAGCTCTTAATAAAGCCACACTTCAAGTACCATTGAAACCAAACCAAATAAACAGGAGCTGTTTGAAGGCACACGAAATGGTTGAGCCCTGCAACAAAGTCTGGTTTGGTTCACTTCTTCTCACCGTCACCTGAAGATATTTTTGACAACAGGCTTTGCTTTCAACTCAGCAATGTGGCGATTCACTCAGAGCACTGCAAAGGCCATCTGTGTGAAGATCTGAATCACAGATCAGAAGGACAGATTTCCTGAGTGACACGTGCACGGAGAATTACTATGCAAACTGTACGGTCGCGGAAAAATGTCTGCACAAACCACTACAGTGCTCTCCGTCACCATGCAGCTAAAATGAAATGGCAGAGAGGCCCAGGGGTGAAAAAAAATAACTTTCCTCATCCAGCAGACCTACGTTCAAGTCCTCTGCCAAGCGAGCCATTGGCCTGCTCAAGTGTCTTTGAGCTGAATCCTTATTAAATCCAGCAGTGACCTCTGGAACAGCAATCTTCCTCGAGTGTCACTCTTTCAGTGATAAATCCAACAAACGCTTCCATCATCTCAGTATAATATCCATGCTAGAGGAAGAAACAGGAGCGCCGTGCAGCTGGAAAACCTATGGGATGGAGAGGAATTGTCAACATACACGTCCTCTCTGTCACTTTTAGTGTCATAGTCTTCGTCCTCATAGATGTCATCAGTGTCAGGCTGGTCTGACACAACACTGTGGTCTCCTATGGAGCAGAGTTTGCTCATGTTCTCCTTGACCACTTCACAGAAAGGCCTCTCCACCCCATCACAAACACAGCGGTTCAGCAGCATGCCGTTTGGGATGAACAGCATCTGTTGAATGGTGGCTTTACACTTGGAGGAGCACTTCCTTCCATTGAACAGCTGCCCGCAGTATGACAAGTAGGCCGTGAGGGAGGTGTGGCAGTTGCTGTCTTCCTCGCAGCGCTGCCGGGCCTCCATGCAGCCGATACCCCCGGCATCGCTCGGGTGTCTGCGGGGAAGGCACGGCTCTATGGCCCGCTTGGCGCTCAGACAGTCCAGGTCCTGGGCGCAGTCGCAGGTCTCCAGGTCTGGCCCGCTGCGGGTGTGATTGAGTCGGATCAGGGCGTTGATGCAGTGGCTCGGGCACTGCCTCCTGGTCCCTCTGATGTTACCTTCACACGCTGCCAAGTATTGATTGTATGCAAGATCGCACTCGGGCTCGTCGTGGCACCGAAGCAGCGCCTGCCAGCAGATTAGCTGGGCATCTAAGGCCACCAGCACCCACGGGAGAAGTGCCACGGCGCTGCACCAACATTTCATGCTTGGATGGAGTTCTAGTCCGGTGACGTGCACTTTCTTCACCAGCACATGAGGATCAGGCTCACAGAAGGCTTACAGAAGTACTCCACATGCGTCAAACATTCACTACCGACTCACTTCTTCTGCAAACTGTCCACTAACTTGCACCTCAGATGAGTTTTCCTCCTCCCGGTGAGCTTTGTAGAAGTCAGGATGTGACTGAAATCAGCACGCGTGGTTGCAAAAAGGAGAAACGGCGCAGAAAGGCTCATTTCGGGAGGCATGTCCGTTCAAAAACCCATACTCCAAACTGCAGTCAGCACCATGGCACCGGCGCGGCTCTGAAACGCGCCACAGGACTATCCAAAGTTAACACGCACTTTAACACACGCAGTCATTGTCCACAACTCAGATCCTACACTTGAACTCATCTTTCTTGTCATTGCTACTTTCGTCTCTTCCCGGCGCTACTACTTTTAATCCATCCACGCATTCCGAAGTTGTTGTTTTGTTTTGTTTTTTTTAGTTGGGAGAGGTTTGTCTCTGTCGCATTTTGTCCCGCTATGTGCGTCTTTGTCCCTCTTCTGGCTGTTACGCTTCACGGTCCGCCGAGCATTTCCCCACAACACCCCTCCCTCTGTCGAAAAAAAAAAAGAAAGAAAAGTGCCCCTTTTTTTCCCTCCCCTTCTCTCATTTACAATCCTGGACACCGATTGGTAGTCATTGAGGAGTCAGCCGTGGGACCCATTTCCAGGCCTACAGCAGCTCAGCTCTGCGCACAAATCCTCTCAGTATATGACGAGATAGGCTGGATGGAACTGTTTATAATTTTCCTTGCATGAAACCCAGGATCTGTGTGGTCCCCCCCGTCCTCCTCTTGTAGCAAAAACACAAGTGAAAAGGGGAGGAGGAGGAGGAGGAGGAGGGGGAGATCTTGCAAAATGCATTCCTTTGCAAGAAGCTCACATCTGCAACTTCACTGCTCCAAATTTCTGCGAGGAAAAACAAATGTGCCCCACCAGAGCAGGAGGAGAAACCTCTGCGATAACTGCCTCCTCGTTGAGGGCTTTCACTTTAAGTTCTCGCTAATTGTCGCTCTTTCTCCCCCCCCTCCCACCTCTCCCTCCCTCCGCCTCTCATTCTGCAGAGTTTTTAAGCCCCGATTGATAGAGGAGAATGGGAGAGAATAGTATTTTCTGGCCCGTTTCACCCTGATTGTGTCAGTTTGGCCATGCAGCGGCCCAGTGTCTTTGCAGCCTGAAGATTGTTCACGCACTGCGGCCTATCAATAGAGAGGGGTTCAGCATCAATATATTTTACAGCTATTCCCTTTCACGCCGCACTTGAAAACTACCAATAGCTCAGGCTTTCCTGCCATTGAAATGGTAACTAACTTGATTTTTTTTTCTCTAAACTAGCTGCAGGTCTGCCCCCACTGAGGGGCTGTGCCAGTCTTGCACAAAAAACAGATGGATGCCCAACCTGGAATCTGAGCAACAATGGGACTGATAACTGCACTTCTGTGTCTGAAACATGCACCCAGTCAGCATAAGAGCAACAGTGTGTTTATATGTAGGCCTTGTGTGCTATACATGAGTGGACAAAATAATGGAGACATTAGAGGATAGTCCAATAAAACAGCACAAATGACAGCTTCTAAAATCACGTCTACAGCTCCTTGTCTCCATGCATACATGCCTACAAACTTGCATCAGTATTTCCATTTATTCTTTTAGCACATGTGTGGATTAGTTCAGAATTAGGATATTATTTTGATATATGACTTACATGTTTTAATACACACTGACAACAATATCACATCTTGTCAATCACAGTCTATCAGCCTTTCTGCAGCCTCCCTCTTGGATGACTGTGAATGTATTTTTGTCTCCACCTGGTGTTCAAGCTGCTGCACATTTAGGCAAACAATGACTATACAGGCCAGCCACAACATTAAAACCACCTGCCTTATTTTGTGTAGATTCCTCTCTTGCTGTCAAAACAGCTCTGACCAGTTGAGGGCTGGACTCCACACTATTCCAAAGGTACCCTGTGGTAACGGGCACTGAGTGGTTCCTTTAGGTTCTGGAGGTTGCCAAGTAGGGGTCTCATGCTTTTTTTCCCCCCAGCACATCCCACAGATGATCACGCTACCCAGGCATCTTTCTGTCACAGCAGCATGAAAGGTTTTAAGTCATTTGTAATGTCATGTCGTTGCTGATCGGTGCTCTAAAGTAAATCATACAACATAGAGAACAAGAAAATACATTATAATAAAAATCAGTTTATTGCAGTTAAAACTCAAAAATCACTGAAATGCTTTCAGATAGCTTGACAGAGATACAGTGCAACAAAGAAACAGCCAAAGAAGGAGAAGAAACTGCGTGTCATGGCAGCCATTTCCTGAAAAAATCAGTTCCACAGGATGACAGCACAAAAATTACATTTGTATATTACTGTTATTATTGAGTTAATGAATTATTATTTCAAGTCACACACACTCATACGAAGCAAACGGTTTTGCTCTATGGCTTCGGTTCCACCCATGAATATTGTCTCATGATCGAACAGGACAGATTCGTGTAGCTCTATTACAAAAGAACTTATTGCAACGTCTCCTCTGCTTTATATTACTGAAATACTTTGACTATGCTGTTCATCTATCACACGACAACAACCACTGGACTGACAAAGTGTTGCCTCGGCTTTCCTCCAGCAGCAGTGTTGTGGCACCTACAGCGAGAGAATCACTACTCATCTGAGAGAATCAGTCAACAAAAGTCAACACCTGTTTAAATGAAATCATAAAGAACCAAGAATCAAACTGGGGACAGATGTGAGATCAAAGCAGACGTCACCCTCAAGCACCACTGCTACATAAACTGAACACGGGCAAAATGTATATGAATGTAACACAACATCAACAGCATCCTCTCCCCATCGCCTTCCCTTACGTTTGGCCGTAAAACACCAGACAGAACACCACAGTAAGCCCACACTGACGCCAGCCCTGAAGCACGACTCTCAGTCTCCAGGGAGAGGCTTGAGACGGAGGGTGGTGGTGGGGAGGGCTCCTTCCATTAAGAATCAGACAAGCTACCTCAGCATCCTCTTTTAAAACTCATTTTTACACTATGGCATTTAATTCCTTTTTGTATTACACCTTTAATATTTCATTTATACTTCAGATTTTTTAAAATTTTCATATTTTATCTATGTTACTATTACTCGGTTACATTGTGTATCTTCTGTTTTCGTATATTATTATTGTCACGATGAGCACTCCCAACTACAGGACGAGTTATTTTTTTTGTTTTCTTTTTACAAAGACACCACTTGACGTATCACATCGGCTAAACAACACAAAATCCACCAGCACAAAACAGCACGTGTGGGTCGATGAGATGGAGGACAGGTCAAAGGTCATGTGACGGTCGACAACACTACGAGACCCAGCGAGTCGATGGAAACGGCGTGAAGAATGGCCCGCTGTGGACGGCTTAGGCAAACAGCAGGTACCTTTACATCTTACAGAACATAAATATTTGTATGCGGACTCAGTAGTCGGATGTATACACACACTGCAGCTACACAGTTTGACATATTTGTGCCATTTCCTTTACGTTATCAACAAAGGCTTTGGAGTACAACTTCTAAAGCATTTACATTTCTTTCATCTGAGCAGCTTTTATTTTTTTAACCCTCTAAATGCAGCATACTCACAGGTTTACTCCCAATATGGATGATATAGATGCTATGTTAAATTTGGGAATACAGTTACTGAATGCACGTAGCTATAAGTACTTACAAAACGCAGAAAATCTATCGTGACCTTCGTTAAGACATCATCTGTGCTTGCTTACTGAATATTTGTGGCTTTCAAAAAGAAAAAAATTAAGACATTTCCTGCAAAAATAAACAACCAAGAAGGCTCATTTTTGTAAAAAAAAGGTAGCTTTCAGATCTTGAAGCTCCAAAGAAGACAACCTTGTACGGACGTCCAAGGCACACTGAAGTACGGAAAGAGCTAAAAAAGTCTTAATAATGATATGTCTAGGAAAGAATTAAAACTAAGTTCAATGCAGCAACAATTTGTAAGCTGTCAACGATCAGCTTTGGTGTTGCTGTTATCGCCCCTGTCTGTGATTTTTTTGTGCTTTTGTACGTGAAATACAAACAACAACCCCACAAAGAGCTTTTTCATTCTATTTCATCGAGAATAAACCACCAGATTTCCCAAATTTAACATAACACACGAACCAGTGTCGGCATCGTGTGTGTGTGTGTTTAGGTTCCAACCAGGCAGCTGATCTCAGTGACCCTCTCTTAACTGAAAGTGCATCTGTTTATCGCTGAAGTCAGCTGCTGTGTGTTTGGAAGCCATGAAAACTTGCACACACGCACACCTGCGACCTTTGCTGCAGAATTATTTTGTGTTACCACTGAGGTACAGAGAGCTGGGAGGTTAGGGGATGTGGGGAGTAAAGGATTTAATACACTTTTTCTCAGAGGAGGAGTTTGTCTAAAGGCAGAAATAATCTCATTGGTTAAATCTCAACGGCAGGAGCTGCATGACCACAGTTTTTTTTCAGAGTGCAACTTTGATAGATTTTGTAAAAAATATGAGATCTGTGACCTTCAGGATGTTGGAAGGTCAGCCGGAAAGCAAACTATCTCACCTCGATGATCTTATGGCTGGAATGATTTTTTTTTTCTCTGGTTAGTCAGATGAGCCTAAGATATTATAATACACGGCTTCTGTCTAACGTTACACAGCTAGAAAAACTGTTATTATGCGGCTCTGCCAACTGACATTCCACTAAAGCAATGAGAAAATGTCTACCCCCAGAGCAGCTCTGCCTCTGAAAAATATTTGTACAAGAAAAACTCTAATCTCCTGGGACTTAGAGCTGGCCAGATCACATGAGGCTGCAATTTTCCGTCTGCTTTTTGAGGTCTTCCAGTGTGGCCTGGGCTTTGTCTTTCAGCTGGTCCATGTCCACGTTCTGGATGTTGGACAGCTGGCCCAGCACAGACTGCTTGTGTGTTTCCTCCTGGTTGTCCTCGGCGATCATCTTGGCCAGCTCTGTGGGCAACACCACGTCGTCCCCCGCCTGCTGGATCTGGGTCTCATCCGTCTCGTTCTGAGGTGGATCACACACACATATGCATTTCCATATAGGCACACCCAACAGGACAGGAGAAAAAAAAAGGGACAACTATTTTAAAAACTGAGGTTCAAGTCCCAGAAGAGTGTATGATTTTTAAAATGATAGTGTTTGTGTTTTTCACTCTACAGACTGATTGTCTTTGCTTTTATTGATAATTTACCTTTGGTAGTCTGTACTTTTCCCGGAAATGACTTCTAACTGTGGCCCTCTCAGCTTTCTTCTGGGCAAATTGAGCTTCTCGTTCCTTTCTGCGAGAAAGAAGGCAAGATAAAAATTGACAAAAAGGTTAATATGCTCCTTATCTTACACATTTAGGCAACTGTAACTTCTAACCAAAGGAAAGAAAACATCCTGCCCTTTCTCCTATAGAAAGCTTTGAAAAAGCAATGCTCACTCCAAGGACATTTAAAGCGAGAATTCATCCTAAATGTTACAAATAAACCAGTCAGATGAATCAATAAGTTAAGAATCTGGGTTTTTCACTGCCATGTGCAGTTGTTTCTTTGCTTTAAGTGCATCATAAGGCTTCTGCTGGATCTAGATGCTGGAGGCCTTGGAGCGTCGCCTTACCACGTGTCCTCCTAACCCTAACTACAGGGTATAGAGCTGAGTGAAGGCAGAGCAGCAGCGGGGATGCTGTGGGGAGAAAAGCAATGAAGAGATATTCTGCTTATGTTTGGGAGACCCAGATGCAGCATCTTATCTGTCCAGCTCCCCTCTGAGGGATTTCAATCCTCGTGGGACGTGGACTATTCAGGGTAACCTACTAAATGCGGACTTACTACCCGTCCCACACTTTCAGAGCTGCCGACCCCTGCTATATGCACCTAATTCTGGCTGTACAACATTGTAGTGTGCCTCACTAGCTCATTTAAAATGCCTGAAGCTTGAGGCCGTTCTTAAAAACCATTAAAGTAGAACAGTACCTGTCTTTGCAAAACAGGTGGTTTAACTCAAACAGTTCAGGAACTGAGAGATTCAGTCCAACCATCCTGATAAATGGGACTTTGTGTACAAGGAAGGTTTAGAAGCATCTCTAAAATTCTACACATCTATTTTGGAAAAGCCAAATGCTGGGAGATATTTATATATATATGTCAGCCTGTTGTCATTCGCCTCTGAAAACCCACTCTTGTAAACAGTCGAGGCAACAGTGTGAGATGCCTCCAGCAGAGGGCAGGCAATAGGCTGTTGGCAGTGCCATCTCCACTCAACATCCCTGGAATATTTATGGCTTCATTGTCGTTCCCAATTGCCCTTCATTAATTGCTAAGTTTGTTGGAATTTCTCATTGTAATCCAACAACATCATAACCCTTGACTAACCTGACTGTACTGCCCGAGGTCAAACATGGATACAGTGACAGCACACATTTCATTACAGTCAGTGAAACACAGTAGGTGTTCACAGAATGATAGACATCACAAACAAAGCTACAGTGGATGAAGGGGGCACAGTGCGCCTACAAGGATCAAATCAGCAGCATCATCTAAAGGCAGGGGGACACTGGAGCACCACGGGCATGCTTCACAAACAAGTGTTTGTACCCAATGTGTCAGAGGAAGGTCGTTTTATGTGGAGATGCAGCATTCATTGGGCTGTCTGTGTGAGCCCGAGTTCACTTTGTATTAACGTGAGCTGGCCAAACACCAAACGGCAAAAGGGGCCATGCTGCGCTCACTTGCAGCCAATGAGCAAGCTTTGTGTCTTCGCCTCTCAAGGGCATCAGATGACCAGAGTTGTCACAGTGGCCCTGGCGCTGAGGGTGATAAAATGTCTACATGTGACATGCCAGTGTGAGCAACCCACCCCCACAACCTTATTCTGCTTTAATCTGAGCACTATGGGCTTCTCTGTGATCTATGCTCATGTTTAGCACCTCTGACTAATAACTCACTTGCTCTGAAGGTCACTTTATGACGGAAGAGCGTTAAGCATCTCGCCGTGGCTCCTGTGGAGCTCAGTGGGCTGAGCTGAGTGGTAGTACTGCCAGAGCTAGAACCTCACCTCCCACTTCTTCTTAAAATGTCTGAACATGGTACCCTGAGACACTTTGGATGAAAAAGTTCATCAAATGTGTGATGGAAATGAGCCCGAGTTCTGACACAGCTGGATGACTGTCTGTTTGTAGGAGCACGGAGACTGACGGAGGTGGAGAGCCTTCGTCGCTGCTCCATATGTCAGTTGACATTCTGGGCATTGTCTACAATTTCATTTTATATCATCAAAATCTTTTTTTTTTTTTTTTGGGCTATCTGATCTGGATCTCATTCCACATTATTTATCTGTGGAAAAACATTCTGTGAGCAGTAGAATGAACATCTAATAGCCTTTGGGTTGTGGAGTCCTGCTCTGAGGGAGGGATCACACTAATCAATAGTGAGTTACTGTCTGCTGGATGAACTCTGCTTTCCAAATGACCTTGTTGTTACCTTTTATTGTCCTTTGGTGCACCATGATGAATAAACAAATTATGAAAGAATAACATGTAAATAATCCACTTTTGTGTTGAAATACAAAAGTAAAATGTAGGTGATTAAAGAAAAAAACTAAATCACAGCTGCAAATAAAAATTATTTAACTAGAAAACTAAATTGAAAATACAACAGATGGTAAACCAATCTGTTTCTTTTTCCAGGCTACAGCACAATTTTAAGTGGCTGTATGGAATCGTAGATGATGAAAGTCGATTTAAAAAGGCTAGATTAATTAATATCAGTGTTGATTATTTGCCCTCTGACAATCACCACTTTATTTACCACACTGTCTGATTCATTGTTCCGCCACACGCACAGCAACGGGAACATTTTTGGCCCCAGGCATGAATCCCAGTAGATAATTCCGTGGAAGAATGATTCCAGGAACCCCAAATTAAAAACGGCGCTACATATTTTGCCGAAGCTAGGAGACAGAGAGTTCCCTGGGCGAGAGGAGCAGCTGTGTGTGGAGCGCTCATGTTATTGCATTGGTGCGTAAAAATGCGCACGGCGCACTGGGAGCTTTCTGCTATTTACACACAAAACACACCGTTTTTTTTACACATCAAACGCTTTCTTTGACAAATACCGTCGATTTTCATCATAACTTCACAATCACAAACTTCAAGCATTGCCTTACTTTTCCTCCTCTAACTGTTGCTGGTATTGTTCAAATTCCTCTTGAGTCATCCCCTGCGCGGCGGCGTCTGATTTCTCCCCTTCGGATTTCTCCTCCGTCAGTCCGCCTGTCAGGTTCTTCAGCTGTCCTCCCACCACGTGTTTTACCATGAAAGCCATGGCTGCGCTTCAGAGAGTCCTCTGTTTGATCGGCTGAGAAGTTGAAGGCTCGGTGCGCTCTTGGATGGAGCGGTGACGGTGGATAGAGATCAGCCAAGTGATGTTCAAACCACACGTCTTCAAGTGTCACGCGAGAGCATGCAACTTTGAAAGGCTGGATGAGAGCAATCAACCCGTTAAAGGAAAAAAAAAACCAAGATGAAATAATTCCGGCAGCTTCAGCACCACTGGCCCTGGACAGCTCCGCGCCGAGAAGGATGGAGAGGAGCTGCTCAGTTATGAGTCAACAAGTTTGGCGCTCAACTCTACCAATCCTGTGAGTCCGTCCGCAGCCACCACTCCCTCCACCCAATCCCAGGCACCACCGGACTGGGTGTGCGCTGGCACGGCGCGCGTCGGCATCGTGGGTTGCACGAGATCCCGTGATTCGCCGTCTGATTATAACTCACGTCGGAGTCAGACAGAAATCCGGGCAGGAGGGGGGGGGGATACAACACGTGATGAGCCTGAGTATCTCCTGGCTGTTTTGGTGCCTCTGTGTATCTCAGGGTCATCTGCGCGCTGGAGCCTAACAGTTTGTCAACACACAAAGAGCCTCCTAATTGCAAATTAGTCAAATGGCTGTCTGTTAACCCACGGCGTGAGTTCGGTTTATTGGCCTAATCACTTAGAAGAGATGAGCCACAGTGTCCTCTCTGGTGGCGCTTGTTTGATCCGGTGGACCAGCTTATTTCCACGACACGAGAGCTGAAAAGATGGAGCGTGAGCAGTGCAGGAGCAGATCCTTCATGCGCATTTAATGCCATTATAACTACTTCTTTTCCCTAACACGGAGGGACCGGAGCTGACATCCTACAATTACAAATTTTGTCTCCAGTTGCATCACCATAATACTTCTGTAGTGACTAGAATCTGTAGTACCCACAAGTGAGTTTATAATATCAGTGTCTTATGCTGATTAGGCCTTCTATAGGATTTATTCAGATGTTTGTGTCTTTGATGGCAGGGTGAATAGTTCAACTTCCATCACCACAAAATGTGCTTTATTAAAAGGCTGGCTGCTTCTGCATGACACTGGATGACGCAGTGTTCAGCTGGAAAGCCTCATTTCTAAAAATATGACCTACATGTGTGTATGTGTGAGGAATATTTTAAATCTCGCTCTCTCTCTCTTTCTGTGAGATTCTTGACATCCAAAGTGTGAAAAGCAACTTTGATCACAAGTCAACAACTTCAACGTCCTGATCCTCGCAGCAGTCTGACACCGAGCCTGGCCTACTTTTCCGGTCCCTGTGGATCAGGAGAGACGGAGCGCGTCTCAGTGTCTTTTTGTCACAGGCTTAGCGAGGCCCTGTTAGCCTATACCTGCCTCCCTTTAAAATCTCCCTCCAACTTCAAAGCTGCCACCGGTGAATAGATGGAAACGTAACACAGTGAATAAGATCAAAACTGTAATCTCTGTGAAATTGAATAAAAAGAAAGAGTTTGCCTAACCAGCATGTTTCAACATCAATTTATATCCTTTTGCTTTTGATATTCACACCCATGGGATCTGTGCCAAGCCCAGGTCCCACTCACTTCTTTATGGATTATCACTGAGCCCTGACTACAGGTGCTCTAGCAGGTGCACAGCAGGAGCTTTTAATCCAAGATGATGTATATTACGCAGACACACACACACACACACACACAAACACACACAGGCTTACTAGTAAAAGTCATACATTTCACTAAAGAGGACTACAGCCCTCACATGATGACATGTTGTGGCAGCTGAGCTTCAAAGAGCAATCACACTGACCTAAAAAGTCAGAGCAGACGTGTTGTGTTTATCAGCAAGTACACCAAACTTATGACTAACAGCTGTTTTCACTCCATTCTTGTGATGCACTGTCATCGCTGTCGTCAGCCGCGGTATAAATAGACGCAGAGAAGCATGGCGAATGCAGGCTGCACGCTCAAATTCTGCTCTGCTTTAAATTCCTCGTTTTATTAATTTAAGGTATCAGTATGTTACAATGAGGATGGTTAAAAGGTAAAAGATCCTTCAATTGTGGCCTCAGTTATCAAATAACAAACTCCTAGAATTCATAATGTGCTTGTGTTTTTAGCGTTGGGATGGTTGCAGGTCAGTGGTCCAGGCCCGGAGTGGGTTTAGTTCCATGTGGCTCCGTTGTCAGCTACTCAGTGTTAGCTGGCTTCCACAGGGCTGTGGTGAGTGTTTGTGCACTTACAACAAATCCACGGACATGGGTTCAATATCAGCTCTTTGGCAGGTGTTCCTGAGAGGAAGAAGGAAAATAAGGTCAGATTTGGAAAACTCATTCATTTGCAAGACCTGTAGAGTTAAAGAAGCAGAGATGGAGGCTGCACACTGGCTGGCTATGGCATTCAGAAAAAAAAAAGATTCACTCAAGCCCAGCCAATGGAGCCTAAGAAGATTCTGTGTAGTTTAGAGAAGTTGCTTGACTGAGAAAAGGATTCAAAAGACATTTAAGGTACAGTGGTGCATGAAAGCTTGTGAACCCGTTAGAATTGTCTATATTTCTGCATAAATATGACCTAAAACATTATTAACTTTTAAAGAAGGTGGACAAAGGGAATCAAATTAGAGAAAAATATTATACAAGATAACTTATTTAGTGACAAGGATAATCCAGCTTTACATATTTGTGAGTGGCAGAAGTATGTCATACTGTAGGGTTAGCAGTCATTTGAAGGTAAAATTAGAGTTAGGTGTTTTCAGTGAGTGCGATAACAATCAGGTGTGAGTGGATTTTTTTATTTAGAAAAAAAAAATCTATCAAAGTCTGATCTTTACAACAGTTGAACAAAGGAGATTTCTAAGAACCTCAGAGAAAAAGTTGTTCATCAAGCTGGAAACAGTTATACTCCTCTTTAAAGACTCCACAGTCAGACAAATTGTGCACAAATGGAGGAAATTCAGGACCTTTGTTACCCTCTTCAGGAGTGGTGAACCAACAAAGATGACCAGAGAGTTTTTCCACCAAAGTCATAGTCCAGACTTGATCCAGCAGAAATGTTTTGGAAGGACCTGAAATGATCAGTTCATGTGAGAAAACCCACCACCATCCCAGAGTTGAAGCTGTTTTGTACAGATGATGGACAAAAAATCCTTAAAGCCGAAGACTGGGACTGACCAACTTTTACTGAAAACACTTAGCTGCACAAAGTCCTCACGGCAGATATTGAAACCAAAGGCTTACATACTTTTGCTCCTCCCAGAAATCGAATATTGAATCATTTTCCATAATAAATAAACGACAAAGTATAATAGTCTCATTTAACTTGGTTCTCTTTATCTGCTTTTAGGACTTAAGTTAAAATTTGGTCATATTGAACGTATTATTTATGCAGAAATATAGAAAATGACTCACAGTCTTACTTGCACAGTGCTATATGTGTATTGTTAGTTTCTAAACAGTATTTTACATTCATGTGGAAATAAATGATGCAGAAAAGTCCTTAAAATTTGTTAGCTACTGTGTGTTTCTCAAAAAATCAAGCAGAAGAGAATTTCACACTTTGTATTTGTGCCAAGCAGAAGCTACAACAGACTGTTAGTATTTAGTCCTGCCAAATTGCACTTCACCACAGGAACCAAGAATGTGGTTGCTGTTTCTAAAGAATTCCTCCTTTTTGAGTCTTTGCTACCATAATAGTACCATTACGGAGGACCTGATCAGCTGTACTTGTTTAATACGAGCATGTGACATTGAATGGAACCTTCACAGTCAAATGCAGAAAACACCACTCACAGCACCTGATTTAAAAATAGGCTCACGTTAATGCTGCCTGCCCATGCTCAGTTCACTTTACTGCCTACTCAGCTTTGACCGATGTGTCACTGTAGCGTGAAAATTAACAGTTTAGGCCTTTGTGGAGCATATATGAAGCGTGTGTGCATGCAAAGCCCTCACACAGATGTTTACTGTAGAAGCCGTGCATGGCTGCACACTAACCTGACACGTTAATGTCTCCTATTACATAAAGATCTGTGATTAGCCTGCACAAACAAGAAGTCCTGAATCCATCACTGAATAGCGCTACATGGAAATTCAGATTTCAGACTCCAGATTGTACATGTGAGATAGTAAATATCGGGCAGTTAAATACAAATATGAAGAAAATTTGAAAGCGACAGGAACAAAAGGTTAGACAGGCATGACATGCTGGGACTGTTGTGAGCCAGGAGCGATCACGGTGTGAGTCAACGTAACCGAAAGCATCACGCTGGCTCCCGCCCAGTCGCACTTCCAGCCTGGTTACACTTGATCTTCTAGGATTAGGAGGGTGTGTGGGATTGGGAGACATGGGCTTATGTACACCATCACTCACACTCGCTGATCCTCAGCAGCCGAATGTTACACCTTTGTTTCTTCAGACAAGGGATTAGACTCATCAAACGAATGGGCCCTGCAGCAAACAATACGCACATTCAGGGAGTTTTTAAATTCACACAGGCGTTGATGACGCCATTAGCAAGTCACTAGGAGGCCTGTCTTAAGAAATGCAAGTGTGTGTGTGGCGGCCCCCTCGTGAGATGACAACATATCACACTAATCCCATTAGGAGTGAAAAGTGCTCTGTGTGCTCGGTGACAAAAACATTTTTTTGTATCAGGAAAGCTGCTGTGGCCATTTGGAGAGTCTTATGATTTCTTGTGATTTTACTTCTACCTGACCGGAGACGGAGCAGACAGGTGGGGTCACAGCAGCACGGCACCATATGGTGACGAGTGAGTCAACCCCAGCGTCGGCGGTTTGATGCCCCGCAGGCTGTCCGGGAGGTGTTGAACTACACCGCATGGCAACTGTCCCCCCAACTAACATCAAGTACTTCCACATGAGATGAATATTATGTCCCTGATACAGAGAATAAGAGGGCCACTTCAACTTAATGTTTAATTCTGCGTCGAGCCTAATTTGTATCACTTTATCCAAGCAGAGAATGTAGATTTTACTTGCCCAGGTTATCAGAGGGACAATATCTCCCTCTGGGCTTTCTGCCTCGATCCAAGTAGAGTGAAAGCAGATGGAATTTTGTTTGTGGTGCTGACAAATAAAACATATTGCATTAAAAAATGAAATATC